TTGTCTTTTACACTTCCTAAGATATGCTAACTCTGTATCCTCACATCCTGACTCCTCAGAATATCATCCTACATCTCACTCCCAGTTCCACCATCAAAAACTGTAAACCCTTTTACAAACCTACTGATGATGTTATAGATAGTAATTGAATTCAACATTCCTGTACGTTGTGACCAAACTATAAACATCTTAAAAGCAATGGATTATTTATAGGTGGTATATTATTTATATTGGAATCTGTTAACATTTTCCTTCCCCACAAAGGAAAGATATTGGAGCCCTACAGGAGTACCATAAGCCTATAGGTAAAAAACGATAATGCCTCGGACCCACAGTGCTAGAAGGGAAGACACATAAGCAACATGAAAAGACAAGGGAAGAAAGTGCCCCAAACAAATAAAGATACCACATTATTAGAATTCATGGCTAGCACAGCAGAAGAAATAACACAGAAGGAGTTCAGGATGATTAAAATGTTCTGTGAATTAAAGGATGATATAAGAGAGCAAATACAGTTAGCAAAAGATCATTTCAACAAAGAGCTACATAAACAAACACAGGAAGCAAAAGATTACTTTAATAGGGAGATAGATGTTCTAAAAAATACCCAAACAGAAATGCTTGAAATGAAAGAAACGATAAACCAAATTAAAAGTTCAATTGAAAGCATCACCAACAGGGTAGACCACTTGAAAGACAGGACCTCAGACAATGAAGATAAAATATATAATCTTGAAAAGAATTTAGATCACACAGTGAAAATGTTAATAAACCATGAGCATAACATTCAAGAAATATGGGATAGCATAAAAAGATCAAATTTAAGAGTTATTGGGATAGAGGAAGATACAGAGGTCCAAACCAAAGGAATGAACAATCTATTCAATTAAATAATATCAGAAAACTTTCCAAACATGAAGAATGAATTGGAAACTGTTGAGGGCCACAGCTGAGTCGGGATGACGCATGGCATTTTTGCCAGAAGTGGTGGTTGAGAGATGACGCCAGCGAGCCATTAAGATGATGACTTTTGAGTTCTCGTGGAGTTACCGTTGAGTTCTGGTTGAGCTCTCACGGGGATTCCTGAAGAGTTCACATTGGTTGGGGAAGTGCCGGAGGAGGGAATTCCGGTTGGTGGTTCCTAGAGGAGCTGCGTGGCGTTTGGGAGAGTTCCCGGGGAGCGTGTGTGGAGTGTGCTGGTGAAGTTCAGAAATAAAGTTTGTTCCTGCTTCAGTGGCTCGTGATTTGTGCCCAGCCAGACTGCGGCAGGAAACCCCCTAATCTCCATCATGTTGTATTAGGCCCCAGCTTCCTTAATAAGACTCGTATAGCATAAGAATTAAAAATAAGAACCAATTAATGGGATGGACTCAAACTAAAAAGTTTCTTCTCAGCAAAAGAAACAATCTGTGAGGGCTGGGGTTGTGGCTCAGCAGTAGAGCACTCGCCTAGCACATACGAGACCCTAGGTTCGATCCTCAGCACCACATAAAAATAAATAAAGGCACTGTGTCCAACTACAACTAAAAAATAAATATTAAAAATATATTTAAAAAAGAAAAGAAACAATCTGTGAGGTAGAGAGCTTACATCTTGGGAGCAAATTTTTACCCCTCACACATCAGAGCACTAATCTCTAGGGTATATAAAGAACTCAAAAAGCTAAGCACCAAAATAACAAATAACCCCATCAATAAATGGGCCAAGGACCTGAACAGATGATATACAATCAATCAACAAATTGATGATATACAATCAATCAACAAATATATGAAAAAATGCTCATCATCTCTAGCAATTAGAGAAATGCAAATCAAAACTACCCTAAGATATCATCTCACTCCAGTCAGAATGGCAGCTATTCAGAATACAAACCACAATAAGTGTTGGCGAGGATGTGGGGAAAAAGGCACACTCATACATTGCTGGTGGGACTGCAAATGGTGCAGCCAATACAGAAAGCAGTATGGAGATTCCTTGGAAAACTGGAAATGGAACCACTATTTGACCCAGCTATCCCTCTTCTCAGTCTATACCCAAAGGACTTCAAAAAAGCTTACTACAGGGACACAGCCTCATCAATGTTTATAGCAACTCAATTCCCAATAGCTAAACTGTGAAACCAACCTAGATGCCCTTCAGTACATGAATGGATAAAAAAAATGTGGCATATATACACAATTGAATATTACTTGGCAATAAAAGAGAATAAAATCATGGTATTTGCAAGTAAATGGATGGAGTTGGAGAAGAAATGAAGTTAGCCAATCCCAAAAAAACAAATGCCGAATGTTTTCTCTGATATAAGGAGGCTGATTCATAGTTGGGTAGGGAGAGGGAGCATGGGAGGAATAGATGAACTCCAAATAGGGCAAAGGAGTCGGAGGTGAAGGGAGGGGGCATGGAGTTAGAAATGCAGTTGGAATGAGATGGACATCATTACCCAAAGTACATATATGAAGACAGGAATGCTATGAAGATAATTTGTATACAGCCAGATATATGAAAAATTGTGCTCTATACGTGTAATATGAATTGTAATTCATTCTGCTGCATATATAACAAATTAGAATTAAAAATTAAAGAAAATAATAATAGTTGAGACTGAATTGGGGGATTATTTGAATTTATGTTCTTTTTGCTTACCTGTAGTTTCTAATTTCTCTGCATCCATTTTATTGTATCATTTTAAAATACTGTATTACATATGTTCTACAGTCCTTACAAATCTTTCTGTAATGATTAATTTTACTGGTCACTTTGATGAGATTAAGGGATACCCAGGAACCTGGAAGAGCATTATTTTGGGGGTATGACTGAAAGACTGTTTCCAGAGAAAAATAGCATTTGAATCAGTAAACTGAGTAAGGAAGACCCATTCTAACCCGATGTGAAATGTGTGCTTTCTCTCTCTCTTCCCCCACCCATCCCACATCCAACTTCTCCTGCCTATGGAGAAGGTTTTCTGACTTGGATTCTAGGAGATGCACCATTGAATCCCCAGGCCCCCAGGTCTTTGGACTTTGACAGTTAAAGAAATAGAAAGGATCAGCTCCCCTGGTTCTCAAGCCCTCAGGCTTGGACTGAGACACACTATTGTCTTCCCTGCGTGTCCAGCTTTCAGATGGACTATCCTCGGACTTCTCAGTCTCCATGATTGTGTGAGACAATCCCCTAATAAATTTTCTTTCATATATCTACATTTATATCCATATCTAGATCTAGATCTTGTTGAGTCTGTTTCTCTAAATAACCCAGGCTAATTCCCTTGCCAACGAATTTTAAAATGTATTTGAAAACAAAAAAGGATGAACAGCATAGAAATGGCAAAGTAATATGTAGTCAACTCTCCAAAGTGGATAGAAAACCCATTGGGAAACATTTAACATAATAATGAGCATTCAAGAATAGTCATCTGGGTTGGTACTAATCACCCCCCACCACCACCACATATACACACACACTCACACACACTGAGTTCCCCTTAAAAGCAGAGCCAGAGACAAAAACTTGGGTACAGGTTCACGTATCTCAGAGGTGTTCACAGGATGCAGAAGTGACAGAATGAGAAAAATAAAAAAGAAGGGAGAGACACCATCAAAAGTGCACTAATAAGCAGCAATGGCTAGGTGAAGTAGGACTTACTCCCACAGGAACTCTGAGAAACTATCAGATAAAGTTCAAAATGTCCCCCAGCCCCATGGGAACCTGGAACAATGGCTCACCAGCACCCATTCCACACAATATGGACTGCCTTGGGAGTGGCAGCTCACTTCCAGGTTGTACCTCCAAGCAGCCTGTGTGACCTCCCACAGCCTCAGAGATAACCCTGAGGTCAAACAGCAGAGTCGCCCTGGAAACACACATGATGCAGGAGGCTGGCAATGGAAGTGTGCCCAGAGCCATGTGGAATCTGGATGTTTTGGAAGAGACAAGCATCTTTTTGCCCAAACCCAGTGAATAGGACAATGTGATTTTGTTGGCAGAATTCTCAGGCAGCGATGAACCCCACCATCACTCCCTACTTGCTGCCCTTTCTTCCTCCCCACATAGCTCCCGGGACCATCCATCCCCCATTTTCAGCTGTTTGGTGAAGTGAGGCTCACAAGGAGTTTCCCCAATGCCCACATGAGGCTCCACATAACCTATGCTCTGGCCTCACTGAACAGCTTCCTTCATATCATGACACCCCCAAACTCCCCCTACCCTTGCAATGCCTTTCCTTCACCACTCCTCCCTGGCTCCTCCTATAAGAGCTTCCAGGTCTAGCCCAGATGTCAGGATCACCCAGAGGTCAAAAGAAGCCCAGATGGGGTGAGGGCTGGTAATGGATGAAATAGGACTGGCCACAAGTGGAGTGGATAATAGCTGACACCTGGTGATGTGGACGTGGGCCCAGGACGACATTCCCTCTACTTGTACATACGTATATTTGAAATTTTCCATAACTGAAAATTAAAAATAGGACTTACTGTGCCAGACACGAAGGAACTGAGTTTCCTTTAAGAAAAATAATTGCTGTTCAACTATGAAGAATGAAGCTGGCCAATAGGGTTCACCTCAGCATTCAGGCAGAGGTCTCACTCACCTGAACCGCCCCAGCCAATGGACAAGCCCAGTTGCAGGTATGAGACCCAGCGGGTTCTGCCCACTGGGGACTCCCCAGGTGAGTGGTTCTTGCTCTGGAGCTTCCCCCGGTGTTGGTGGAGACCTTGTCAGACCTGCATTGCAGTCAGGGGCCCTCCTTGTTCCTTTCTGCCACTTCCTCTCTTTTCATTCTGCATTGCACTCGGCAGCCTTTCCCTATCCAATCCCACTTCCGACACCTTTGCCTTTCCCAGGTGTGACTCCTCAATAAAACTTTGACTTCCACCTTGGTAATGGCATCCCAAAAGACTTAACTTGACACAATGGAGGCACAGATTGCTTGAGTCCCTCTTCACCAACCCAACCCCTGCAAAGCCCCCAAAATAATAAAGAAATAACAAATACACACATCATTTTGTATATAAATTTTTGCATATAATAAACTAACTTTTTTTACACTAAAAAAATACAGTGGCTATGTATATAATGTGATTTTGAAATGTTATCAAAAATTTAATTTGTGGTCCTTTGGGGAAATGAAGCCCCTGTCTGGGTTCTCCTTTCATCTCACCCATATGCTGGTCCTACCAGATATCACAATCCCGGGAAGTTCTCCAAGATCACCCCAGGATGGGTTGGGTAGCCTCTTCTATGCTCCTATAACACCCTAATCTCTGCCACTAGATAACCATCCCATGCTGGTCCTGGCTGTAGAAATTCTGCCTACCTACTTCTGCTGTGCCCCAAATCAGCTGTGAGCAGCTGGAGAACCCAGCATATAGTAGGGTGCTCAATAAGTGAATCTGGGTCAATCATTGACAGGCATAAGGACCCTATACAGGACCCATCTCCACCGTGATCCTGCAGATTTATAAAAGGCTTAGGAAGAGTGACTGGATGACCCCTTTCAGTTTGGAATTGACATGAAAATAGAGGCGGGAAGCCTTGTTATAACTCTTTCTCAAGCCCTGGGATTCAGGGAACCCTACCAAACACCTCTGGCCCTCTAGGGCAGGGCACCTCACAGGTAGAGAAGGGAAGATCATATCTGTCCCCTATTCTGTTTCTCTCTGAAGGGAAAACCTCTTAGTAGCTAGTAAAGGCAAGAAACCTAGCAGCAGCCTCTTTTGTTGAGGTAGGACCCTAGCTGGCTTCAGCCAGGTGACAAGGCTGGTTTTCCTGCCAGCCAGGCTCTGGTCAGGATCACCAGCCAGAAACCCTGGGTCTGCCAGAGCTCCAAGGACCGGCATCAGACTTCTCTGGTGGCTTTGAGCAGGACAAGGGCTTTGTTTTCTCTCTTTGATCCAGATCCTGGGGAAGATCTTCCAAGGAAGAGATCTCCAAGTCACTCTCATCTTCAGAAAGCTGTGGGGTGTAAGGGGAGAAGAAAATGCATTTTGATAAATGCAGGAGAACAATAGAAAGGTAAGCACCATGCAGGACGGAAATGAGGACAAATGCAGATTTGGAAGACACTACTCCTGCCTTCTCAAGAGAACCTGCTCAAGAGACCTCAGAGGCCACAGAGATTTCAAATACCCCTGGAACTCTACTAACCAAACCTTGGAAAGATCTGTGTGTATATCTGTTGCTCGCATTTTCATTCAAATTTTTGCAGATTTTTAACTCCCCATATGGACAGAACTGGAAATCAGAACCTCAACCTCTGCAAGTTCTAGAGCTGAATGCACCATAGGAAGGGACACAGGACCCTTCAGTTTGAAAGGGGTTCAACTGCAGACAATGAGGGTTCAGAGTTCACAGAGGAATCAGGCAACCCCAGACCACAGCAACAGCCCGGGCCAGGCCTTCCCCTCTTGGTGCCCCCGCTGATCACCTGGGCTTCAATATTAGACACTCTGTGTATTTTCTCCTGGCATGTAAGGCCAACCAATCAGAAACCACCTGGGGCCTTGAACTGCAAGTATGCTCTGATCAGCGCCTCCATCTGTTTTGGACAGTTGGTCCTCTTTCATGAGGTGGGAAAAGGGATATGATAAACCAAATACACTAAGTAATAAGAAGAATTAGCAGGGGGATACTATTTAAAAAATAAAAAAAAAGAAGAAGCTGGTTGTTCAGCTCAGTGGTACAGCAGTTGCCTAGCATACATGAGGCTCTGGGTTCAATCCCCAGCACTGTTAAAAAAAAAAGAAAGAAAGAAAAGAAACAAACAAAGAATGATTGTCCACTACTTCTGGCTTCAGGGCATTAGCACTGAGTATTCCAAAATGCACCTCTTTGACTAAGAAGGTGAGAAAGGAGCTTGGAGTTAGTGAGGTCTAAGTTTTCCTACCTAAGAAAATAACAGGAGTGTGGAAGGTGATAAGGGGCTGGTAATGGTAGGGGAAGTGCCATATCTGAGTCTAAAAGTCTGATGGCAGCTACAGCCTGATGGAAGCAAGGCCATCAGGTCACTTAGTGATGAGCCATGGCCTTGAATAACAAAATTATCTAAATATTGCCATTTTACATTGTCGCCTCTGATGGTACCACTCTAAGGCCTACCCCTGCAGGGAAGGGTTCTGCTCTGTACACAGCCTTGAGTTATGATAGAGTGAGGGCTTGGGAGGAGCCCACCATGGAAGAGATAATGCAGGAATAAAGCAGCCACAACAGAAACCATATGTGGTCAGTTCCCAGACTCTTAGAGGCAGATGACTAAGAATTAAACCTATTGAACGGATGCTTGTATAATGAACAAAAGGATTTTTTTTTTTTTGCATGTGTGGTACTAGGAATTGAACTCCTGAGTGCTTTACCACAGAGCTACATCCCCAGCCCTTTTTATATTTTATTTTGAGAGAGGGTCTAACTAAGTTGCCTAGGTTGGCCTTGAGCTTGTGATCCTCCAACCTCAGCCTCCCAGGTCACTGGGATTACAAGCTTGTGCCATTGCATCTGGCTCAAAAGGATTCTAATGTTAACATGGACACAAAAAGAATTCTAAAGTGTCCATCTCTCCACATGTGTAGGGGTATAGAGAGACAATGTCACATTCAATATCCTATGAAGGTCAAGGCTGACACTTGTGGGACCCTCCCCCCAACTCTCACCCCAGGCCCTTCAAATATCAGGGCTACCCCAAGCATCCCGCATCCTACCTGAGGCTTCCCTCTTGGCGTGGAAGCCCTCTGCAGCCCTGTGTTGGACCTCAAGAACAGACTGACCCCTCCAGCAGGCTTCTTTGCAGGAGTCTCAAGCTGCTTCTCAAGGTTTTTGACCATCGACTGGACCAGCGTTCCTGGAAGGGGGACAAGTGGTTTGTCACTGGAAAGGGCTGGAGAGTGGATGCTTCATCCTTATGGGTCACATCCAGACTACAATGTGATAGAGGAAGTGGGGAGAGGGTCAGGAGGAAGAATGTAGGGCAACCACAAAGAAAAAAGGCAAGGAGATAGAAGGCCCAGGCCCGCATACGCCCAGTTCCAAGAGGCTTGGAATATTCTGAATGTGTCACTGTGCTGACTTGACATTGCAGCTGATGGTGGCTCAGGAAGACGTCCTCCCCTCTCAGTGGAGGCTGAGGTGGACCCCTGCTCAGTGTGATGCAAGAACTAACATGCAGATGGGCTCTTCTTCAAAACTTTCACACAGAGACAAGAATAAATATTAGTTATGAATTAGCACAGGAGGACTGAAGAAGAGAAAGGCTTTCTGTGAACTCCATGTAGGAAACAGGAACTGAACAGAGATGGAGATCATTATCAGGCCCTGATGCCTGAAACCAAGGTGATATAGAGACAGAAGGCTGACCAGGAAGCAGGGACCTAACTCCACACAGCCTTCTAGGACTCAAATGCCTGGGGCCTGAGAAAGTGTTTTAAGCTACAATAGATCCTGGCTAACTGACTCATTCAAAAAATGTTTGTTAAGAGCTTACTATGTGTTCCTTACCCTCTTACTAATCATGTTGTCCAAACACCTCATTTTACAACAAAGGAACCAAAATCTATGCACCAGGACAAGCAAGTAGCAAGTGACAGAGCCAGAACTGCCTCAGGAGATTCCTGACTCCTTGCCAGCCTATGGCCCTGATTGGTAGGGCATCGAGACTTCTCCAGGGATCCAGTTCTACTGGATTCTCATGGGCTGACAGGCTTGACTTATGCTGAAGTACTGCAGAGTCCATTAAGGACAGGGACTTGCAGATTGCAAACCTAGGCGTATGGGTCAGTCAGCTGTGCATTGCTGTGACCAAAATTCCTGACATGCACAACTTAGAGGAGGAAAAGCTTATTTTGAGCTCATGGTTTTGGAGATTAAGTCCATGGTCAGCCAGCTCCATTGCTTTGGACCCAAGATGACACAGAACATCGTGATGAAAGGGTACAGTGGAGGAAAGCTGCTATGCTCATGGTGGCCAGGAAGAGTGGGTAAAGGGAGTGTCCCAAAAAAGAAGAACTCTTACAGGATACGCCCCCAGTAACCCACCTCCTCCAGCCACACCCATACCTGCCTACAGGTACTATTCATTCATCCCAGTTCAAACTGGGATGGACAGATTAGGTTACAGCCCTCAAATTCCAATCATTTCACCTCTGCATTAACACAGGAGCTTTGGGAGGACACCTCATATCCAAACCATAACAACACAAATCCAAAAGCTTTCCTTGCTGACCCTGGAAACATAAAATTCTATACTCTTCAGCTCAGCCACGGAGAGAAAATGCAACGGAAGCTATAGTCCTCTGTTAGCAGTTTTATAAGAAAAACTTGCAAGAATGGAAAGGATACAGATGTTCTGAGAAGAAGAATGCTCAACTAGTCATTGTAGCCTGTTATACAGGAGATGGTAAGTTTAAGGGGTAGTTAAGCACTCTAATTACCATATTATTTGACTCACATCTGTATGATGCTCTGTTCACCAACAAGCTGAATTCCTATCTGTCTCTTTGCAGTAAAGGGCAAAGACCTTTCCTGTATGATTGAAGGGCTGCTGTGCTCCACAGGCTGATGGAAGAGACTGAGACAGCCCGTTGAAAAGACTTCCTGTTCATTTCTGTGGTCAAAGGCTCCCCATCTCTGCTTAAGAGCTTGGGTTGGACCCCTCCTGAGGCTCCTCCTGTTCACATCTGTCTCTTCTCCCCCTTTTGTGCAAAAGCCTATAGGGGGCCCAGGACAGGGCTGCCTGAGGCCGTGGTAAGTCAGGGTCACATCTTTCCCTTGTCAGGGCTGTGAGGAGTAAACAAGAGTCTTCTGTGGACAGATATACACAGAGCTGGGCCCGTGGTGAGTACTCAGTAATAAATGTAGAGGGAAACTTTTTCTCTCTGCCTCAAGCTTCTACAGAAGAACTTCTTCATCTACCCGGATGGGTAAGAATGGGAGAGGTGCTCACTCAGTTTCTCCCCACACCACCCTGTTCTCTCCTACCCACAGAAGAAGCCAAGAAGAAGGGAGGAACGACAAAATCCCCTGGGCGGTGACAATGCCACTCTTTCTGTCTGACCCTCTCCCTGCACCTGTGGCGCGGTTTGGAGGTCAAGTGGAAAATTCCCACAGCTGCCTGTTTAAGATTCTGCCCCTCAGGTTTACTTTACCAACTCAACCCTTGGCACAGGTACATTCAGGATCTGGATTTGGGGAGCTTGGAGGGGACCCCACTTAGGCTGTTTCTTCACTCTAGCCCTAACAGGAATGCCTTAGATATTATCTAATGCCTTAGATATTCCTGGACCCTATCATCCTTAACAGAATGAGGCTTTGATCTCAATGTATCTGGTGAAAGTGTTTATTCTCTACCTGTAAGAATGTGGAGGAGAAAAGAAGTGGGTTCCTCCAACATCCAACAGTTAAACAACTCAGTGACGACACAAGGTACCAAATAAACCTACCAAATAAACCTCACCCATGTTCTAGCTTTCTCCTGAGATCTCTCTATCCCCTCCCCCCAAAAAAAAAAAAATATCTGAGGGGAAGGAGGATCACACTTTCCAAGTTAAACAAACAAAGAGATGCCAAGTCAGAAATCCCAAGAAACTTGTCCTAGAGAAGGGCTACCCAAGGGGTCCCACTCACCCGAGGAAGCCAGGCCACCTGAGCTCTTGCCAGGGGACTGGGCATTCTCCTCTGAGGTCTCAGTGTCAGACCAGTCCCAGGAATCCTCCAGCGTGGGCACTGTCCTGGAAGGAGTCCGTGGAGGCTGGAGAGGCACGTGATGCCCAGTGTCCCCCTCCAACTCCTCTTCAGAACTGAATGGGGGCGTGCTGCTGCATGAAGGAGAAGAAATGAAGGGTACATGAACCAGAAAGAAAATTTTAAAATCCAAAGTGAACCACCTTGCTAGATGGTTTGGTCTTCCTAGAGCTAGCCCTCTTCTGTCCCTTGGGCTCTGATGATAGCCAGGAGCTGCACAGGAGTGGACCCATCACACCAGTTTCTCCTCCAGAAGGGGCTCAGAAGGAGGCAGCCCTGCTGGCCTGAGGACCCCATCCTCCCGTGTAGCAACCGGGGTTGGAGGAAGAGTTGGGGAAGGGGAGGATAGGCCTGTCTTGCCTGGGAGCAAAGGATTCCCAGCTTGGGTTGGACTCCACCTGAAGCACCTCCTATTGACATCTCTACCCCACAACCCATTTTCTGCAGAAGCCTGTAGGGAGCCCAGGACAGGGGTGGCTGAGGCCAGGGACACCACCAGTAAGAGGCCTGAGCTCAGGGCTCACCTCAACCCGGGCCCTGGAGAAGCAGGGATGCTGGAGGGTTTGTGTAGCCTGGGGCGTGGAGTAGGGGTGGACACCTGGGCCAGGCCAAGGCCACGGCTGCTGCGGTTCTGAAGGGTTGGTGTGGGTGACTCTGCCAGCTTGGATGGCAACACCTTGTGCAGGGTCCTGGTCTTTGGCTGGGCCTTTCCGGTATCCAGTGGGCTCTGCTGGCTTTTGACTAGAAATACAGAAAAGAATGACTTTTAGAGCATGCCTGTGCTGGGTTCTCAAGCCTGAGAGGATATAGAAAGAGGGTCCGACACACTGGAGATGGGCAAGGCACTCAGTTGCAGTGAGCAGTAATAACCACAGCAGATTTAAGTTACCCTACTCCAGGAGTCCCTCTGAGGGGAGCACAGTTCCACAGTTTCATCAGACTAAGAGAACAGCAGGGTGTCATTACAGGAGACCCACAGGAGTCAGCAGGTCTGAGCACCCTGAGCTGTCCTAGAGCTGGACCTTGGTCTTGGCAATGTTCCCTCCCTACTTGCTGCTGGAATATAGGCAACCTTGCAGGAAGGTCCTGCTGCCACCAGAGGTCGCCGCAGGACTACATGGGCCATCCTCCTCCCACATGCAACCTCCTCCCCCATGCAGCCTGGGGCCACCATGTGCCTGGCAATTAGATAGACCCCTCCGTTTTCCAAATTGCATCAGGATTCGCTGTTGTGGGGCGGTGGGGGGAGGGCCCAACAGTTGATTATGAAATGAATAGGACAGAAAGGGCATCACAGAGAGTCCAAGTGCTCTCCATAAAACGTATATGTTTGAATAGAGTTTCTTACTGCAGTAACTCAAGGTAAAAAACATTTGAAATACACTGCTTTCAGAAAATGCATTTACTCAGAAGTGAACCTAGCAAAGAGTGAGATGAAGAGAAGGGAAAGGTGAAAACAAACTTGCTGAAGGAAAACAACAACTGTTCACAATTGCTGTGTACCAGGTCCAAACAAAGCACTTCATACAACATCCATTCGGTGGCCAGAGCATCTTCAGACAGCATTGTTCTGCCTGACAGGGGCTTTGAGAGATTAAGGAACTTGCCCATAGCTCCATGGAAGAAAGTGATAGATGCAAACCCTGGTAGTCTCTCTGCCCCAAATATTCACCCCTGATGCCAATTTTGCTGCATCCCACAATTCCACTCCCAAGCAAGAGAAGAGGCATGGTCTGATCAGAGATAGGAAGAGAGCGTTGGCAGAGCATCTGTGGGGTCTTGGAGGAGAGCATGGGCTCAGAGCTGGAAGGAAATGATTACAAAGTACCATAAACCAGTGCCCTCCTCTCACACCTCAGTTTTCTGGACCTGGAGCCAGGGAAGGAGAGAGGTCAAGAGAAAGTGGGTGGCACATAGAGGGACAAAGATACCTTTCCTTTCTCTTGGAAGCTGGCGCTCTGAGGATGTTTCCATTCATCTTCCCTGAGTCACTGTCCCCTCCCTCCTCAGAAGTCCCACCACCCCTGTGCCTGGCTCCATTGTATCACCTAGTCCTGGCTAGTTTCCCAGGTAAGGGGACAGTCCCGGCACAAAGTCAACCTCAGCAAATACTGTACTAAAATGAAAACGGGGGCCGGGGGGAGATGAATTAATGAGTGGACATTTGTACAAATGAGCAAACCAAAGCATGAAAAGCATGTTAGTAACCAGAACAAATACCCCATGTGAGAGATGTCTATGTACGGCAAGATCTGTCCTTTCCTTAGAGATTTGATAAGACCAGCAGTTTATACTGAATAGGATAGTTTCCCCGATCATCACATAATTTTTATCCCATTCTCATACCAACTTTCCTGTTATTTAACATTTTTATATAAAATGACAGCACTTGTAAACATAAAATACCTGTTTTATACTTGTCCAAGTAATAATTTTCATGAGCTCACAGGATTGCTCTATTGGAAATACTCTTTTTTTTTTTCTAATTCATGTGAAGAAAAATAAACCTTAAATTTTAAAAAGATTGGTTTGTGTAGTGCTAAAATCTTCCATCTTGTTTCCAGAAATATGCAGACAACACTTTACAAAATCTCTTTGCCTAGGGAGCTCAGATTGGGTCTGTCCAGACCTGAGATCCAGAATTAGCCTCCTTCTGAGCCACATGTGTCCACACCTAAGGAGATGATATGAAGGAAGCTGAGCATCGTCTGCATGAATAGACCTAGGCCCACAGAAGCCCTCCATAGAGCCTCCAGGTCAGCAGAAACACAGTGGACCTAGGAATCCTCTAGAAATGCAGCCTTTCAAATCTAGGAAGGAAAGTTTCCCTAGTCCACAAGATCTTTGAGGGAAGAGACCTGAGTGTTGTTGTCCATATATTTTAATCTTCCACCAAAACACAGTCTCGCCTTGTCAACCCATGGGAACAGGGACAATTGGCAAAGCAATAACTTTGACTTGAGCAGGGAACAAAGCTTGAGCCCTGAAGATTTGTCTGAAAGCAGCTCAGCCCAGCCCAGCTTCTATGCCACTGCTCAAGGCAGAGAATCGCTGCACTACGAGGAAGTTTTGATTTGATTGATACTTGCTCCACCCTGCTACCTTAATGCTTGTCTCCCACATTGGCGTGCCTGGTGTGCAGAGCCAGATACCACCTGGGCTGCTGTCTGTTGGAGCAAAATTGAACCTGTGATCAAAGCAAGTCAAGCAAGGCCACATGCAAGGGCGGCCTCATGTCTGAGCAGGAGGTCAGACTGGCCACAAGCTCCAGCTCTGCATCTCCTCCAGCTGGAATGACCCCTGGACAAGTGGCCCCCCAACCCAATTCCTAATTATTTTCCCAGAACAAGACTTTTGGACTTATTAGCCCTTGAGGATCAGCTCAGCCCTTCATGGCAACGCCTCATGGGAGGAACTGCACACCCTCTTCATGTGCCAACAAGCCTTAGTGAGAACAGGATCCTCCCAGGTCACAGTCCCAAAGCAAGCCCTGTCCCCAGCCTACCTGGAGGCTGACCATCCTGATGAAACACGGAAGCCTCGGTCTGTCTCTCCTTCACTCTGCGGATGGTTTCCTTGACAAGCTTTTCCCTCAGGCTCAGAAATTCAGAAAACTTCCGGGCCCTCTGCTCCCGCTGGGCTCTCAGTAGGGACTCCAGGTGTTTGAAGGTCTGAACTGGGATTCCCTTTGCATCCTAGCAGAGACAGAAATTCACCTTTGCAGACAGAAGCTGCCCTTCTTCTTCCCCTATTCTCATGCCTGTAGCGGCTGACCTGGGGGTCTCTGTAATTGGCGCCTGATATGTTTTAGGTGGCAGATGGGGGAGTGAAATGAGGTTCAGAGGAGGGAGAGCAGGGGCCTCACAGGTTGCTCAAAGGGTGGTGATTTAGGGCTTGGGAGCCCCACCAAAATGTGCATAGTAACATAACTGCAAAGGGTTGTGTCACAGTTCCATGCATATCACAGCATAAGGGGCTTTATTTGGGACAAACTTTTCCAATACCCACTGAATCCTAAGATGATCGGTCACTTGCTCTTTTTTAAACCCCCACGAACTATCACCATTCACATATGCTATCCCCAGATAAAGATGTTTGAATAACTAAACTGCAAAAAATAAATTACTGGAAGTTTCCAAGGGTTTGGGCATCTACCCAGAGCCCATAAGAACATCTTCGGAGACTTCTGATTCCAAGACAGGGATTCATCCAAGTTTAGAAATATTTTAAGTCTGAATATAGGAGCAAGGTTAGATTAAGCAGTAGTTTAAAAAAAAAAAAAAACAGTCCAAATTAGTGAACATCCTTCCTGAATTAAACCTACGAGTCTATTTTTTTCTATAATCTCACTCATTGAAACACAAATGGCATTTTCAATGATGCCATGCTCAGCTATCTTAATAACAAGATGTTTTTACTTAATAATAGATTTCATTGGTGCCATTAATGATAATGTAAATGCTCTGGCTAAACACAATGGCACTCAAATACTATCTGGCAGCAAATGCAGCTTTCAGTGCCTGTCCCACCAACAGGCACAAACTGAGTGGGCATAGTATGTTTGTCACAGGTGATGGACTCACAGATGGATATTTATCCAAAGGGGACCTATCCATAGGCCAAACTGAGCCAATTAAATTCCCTCTGTCAGACAATTTGGAAACCCAGAAGTTGCCCATGAGTGGAGAACACTAAGGGGTCAAGGTGTAGGGACCACCAATAGCCAAATAAGGCCACTCACAAGATGCCATTGGAAGGCACGTGGATTTCCCTTCATGCATATCAAAGGAGCCCAGGTCAGAACAAATGAATGGATGAGTTTACAAAGAAAAGAACAATTGATCACTTGTCAGTTTGAGAACACTTTGTGACTCAGTTGTAGGTGTGGCCCTTTAAATGGCGGTCCTAGAACCTACCCTCTTTATCCCCATGTCTTCCATCTTCTCTTGCAGGGTGTCCTCCAGGATGGGCCGGAACTGCTTCAGCAAGGAAGGGTTTTGCCTCAGAGCTGCCAGTACCTTCTGCTGCTCGTGTGGGGAGTCTTCTAGCTCTGTAGCCCAAAACAATCACCAAGATCAGCGTGTCCACCTGAGACCCCCATTTGCAGAGACCCATGCACCTGCCAGGCCCTCATGCTGCCAGTGATCTTGGCCTCCTCCTCCAAAGTGATCACCTGCGCCAGAAGCTGGGGTGTTTCTGCTCCTGGGTACCACTGTCCCAGACCCTTCAGTATGCTCATTCCCTCTCTGTCTGGACCTCCCAAATCTGGGCTCAGTCAATCCTGCCACAGATTAACTCGTTTGGGCTTTGCACTTGAACCCTGAAAGTAACTTGATCCTGAGCTCCATTCTGGTCCCAAATTCTGGGCTCTTGTTCTGCCAGCTCCATAATCCTCCACCTGCCATCCTCATCCCAATGCCAGGTCCAGTTCTGTTTTGGCTCAGGAGACAAATTGGTGGGCAAGATAGACAGATCTCTGCTTTTTTCAAGTTCGCTGTCTAGATCAGGGGTTCTCCCTCCAACTGCAGCATGTATCAGAATCACCTGGGTTAAAAATACCCATTCCCTGGCTATACTCTGCCCAGAGTCTGATTGTACAAGTCAGGGGAACGGCCCTGAAATCTGTATTTTCCACAGGCCCTGATTCTCATGGAGATGAGCCATGGGCTGCACATTTATAAATACAGATCCACAAGGTAACAAAAAAAGCAATTACAATAAAACATGCTAACTGCTACAAAGGGGCAGTACAGAATCAGTCAGTAAGGCACCGTGCTTAGAGCTGAACCAACCCCTGAAATTCACTCAACAGACATTTACTACACAAGTAGAACAAAGGTATGAACAGACTAGAGTGGATGCTGGGGACATAGAAGAATTCCATCTCCTCTAACAGAGCTCAAGGTCAGGGCTGATTAATCTCAACTTCAACAGCATATTGAAACCAACCCAGGTTAATTACTTCAGAATTTCAAAGGGTGGGTTCCCAACCCTGGATGTTTATTTTTAAAACTTCCTGAACATTCTAACAAACACCATCACCCAGTAACTTGCAAGATATGCAGATTCTTAGCTCCTATCCCAAATCCACTGAATCAAAAATTCTGCAGGTGGGGCCCAACAATGTGCACGAAAACAACCCCCACCCCATGATCACCAACCCCCCAACCCAACCCAACCCTCCACGGCTGATTCTCCTCAATGAAGTTTGCACTGGGACAGGCACCTCAACCATGGCTGTGCATCAGAATCACCTGGCATCCCCTACATGGTGTGCTTCAAGAAGCAGGGGACCAAAAGCAGGGGACCAAAAGCTAACCTGTGGCAGGACTGACTGAGCCCAGATCTGGGACAGTAGTACCCTGGAGCAGAAATACCCCAGCTTCCAGCCCAGGGGGACACTTAGGAGTAGGAGTCAGTAGCCCTGGGCTCCCAGGCTGGAGACCAGGTCCTGGTGATTCTCAATGTGCAGCCAGTTGTAGAGAGCCACTGGTCTCACAATGAACCCCAAACACGAGCAGGAATCAGAATGCCCTGGAACACATGAAAACACAGACTGCTAGGCCCTGCCCTTAAGATCTCTGTAGTTTATCTAGGATGGGGCCTGAGAATTTGCAAATTTGCATTTCTAACAAGTTCCCAAGTCAGGCTTCTGCCTACTGCTCTGGAGCAGAGCTTCCTCTCGCACTGTTTTTCCCAAGTGCATAGACTACTATCGCAAAAATAAATAAATAAATAAAAATAAATAAAAAATAAATATATATATATATATATATATATATATATATATATATATATATATATATACATTTTTAAAATAAAATAAGGCCAGGCACAGTGGCAAACGCCTGTATTCCCAGCGACTCAGGAGGCTGAGGCAAGAGCATAAGGAGTTCAAAGCCAGCCCCAGCAACGGCAAGGCACTAAGCAATTCAGTGAGACCCTATCTCTAAATAAAACACAAAATAGGGCTGGAGATATGGCTCAGTGGTTGAGTGCCCCTGAGTTCAACCCCTGGTACAAGAAAAGAAAAGAAAAAAAAAAAGCTGTGATGAACTCTGGTGACAGAAGTCTAACCCTTCCTGGAGATACATCTATTGGGTAACTTTGGAATTGTCCTATCACAGTCTCACTGAGTGCCTTGGTCAGTAGGTTGCCCTGAAAGAGTACATTCTTGTTTCCCCAGGGAGCTTCCTCTCTCTGCTGTGCTTTAGAAACTCCTTTCGGTCAGGAAGCATGTCTATTGTTTTCATCTCTCTTATGTATCCCCTCACAACATCTGGTTGAGAGCTCTGCAAATCAGAATCAGTCAGCAAATGAGGTGTGTGAAAACAGCAGGTACTCAGTCCTTTGAACAGGGAGGAAGGCAGACTCCTGCACATAGTCAGGCCCTGTGGGAACCATCCGCAGCACACTCACAATGCAGAGTGAAACAGAAAAGGCCATTTTTAAGTCAATAGACTCAGAGCAAGCCACCAACTTTGTCTGAGCCTGGGTTTCCCCATCAGTGAACCAGAAGATTGCATGTGAATGCATGCATGTGACATACCTGGCACACACAGGTACTAAAGACATTATTTCACATTCTTAATTCCCTCCACCCCTAGCTTCAGTGTCCAGAGACAGCTAAGTAGAAACAAACTAAACAACCAAGACAGCAGCAAAGCTGTTTTCTGCACTGAACACCCAGAAAAGAAGAAGCGCCACCTTCCTCAGGAGAGTCCTCCTCTGTGTCCACAGCCTTTGGCACCTCTTGGGTCCCTGAAAAGAATAGATATAGTTAGTGGCTCCAGTACCCTGTACCCCATCCCAACTTTAGACAAAAGGGAAGCATCCCAGGTGACTACTGGTCAGAAGGAGCAAGCCCTCCAGTCAATTCATCTTTATTAGAGAGAGGCAGGATGGAGCAGTGGTCACAACCACGGACAATGGAGGCAGAATGATTGGAGTTCACATGCCAGCTCTGTCCCTCATTAGCACGAGATAGAAAGTCCTTGAACCTCCATAAGCCAAAGTTTCCTCATCTAGAAAATAAAGATAATGCCCACCCTACAGTAAATTGTGGAGATAATATGATATAGTGTAATTCAGGCAAGGTGAGTTTAAAAACCTACTCATGAACCCTAGTCCACCAATCACTGCCCCCAAGATCCTTGCCCCTCCCCTTTGCCTCCATACTCTTACAGAGAAGAGAAAGCCTGCCAGCAGGTAGAAAGCCTTCAGTTCAGTGTCGTCTGCCCCAGGAGCTCCCTGGGAAAGCCTAACACGACATGTCCCATGGACTGCTGCCACCAATCCTCTGCCTATAAATTGATGGGGGTTGCGGGGAGAAGAACCCAAGACTGGTAAAAACAATTCCCTGAAGACTTACTCTCCACCTTCCTGAGGGACAAGGTCTGGATCTGTAAGAGGTAGAACAGAGCAGGTTAGAGTCTGGTAAGAACATGTGGGGATCCTGCTCTGAGCAGTAGACCTGTCTAGCATGGTGAAGAAGGGACCGCCACTGTTGTCATGCCACCCACTGAAACTGGAAGACACTCAGATGCACTGCCCCAGCCTCCTGGCACACCTCTTACAGTCCACATGTGAAAGGGGATGGAGCTCAGGTGGGACAGGGACAACCCAGATGACAGCCCACTCCATTTCCCCAAGGTGGAGAGGTAAGAATGACCCCTTTTCAGAGAAGGGACACTTTTTCAGCCTGGGAGGGAAGGAGCTGCTTTGTGCCCCTTATGCCAAAGAGTTCTTCTCTCCCTTCCAGGAACCTAAAGAGCCCAGAGGAATCCAAAGCAATCCTTGCAGAAAAAAAGGCCTAGGGGCAGCAGGGCCTGATGGGAGGAGGAGAGACCTACCATCTCCTCCTGGGAGGCAATGAGCCTGGCTTGTTCCTGTAGTTGGGCCCGGAGGGCATTGATCTGGCGCTGAGACTGGGCAGCTGCCTTCCTCTGGTCCTGCGACAGGGAGGCCTGGAGCCTCTCATTCTCCTCCTGCAGCTGGTGGACACAAGGATGGCTGGTAGGTCAAATGTCTGCAGGGACTTCAGAGTGTCTGGTGCCCACAGGGTCTGTTTCTAGAGACAAATACTGGTAAAGGGTTCACTTGAACCAGGGTAGAGGATTTCTAGAGCTGGGCAAGTGGCTTTCTAATAACATTTGTGGGGTGTTCCTAAGGAGTAAGAATGGAACACAGGTCCCTAAGACCAGGAGAGAAAGGGCCCTCTGACAGATGTGATTATCCATTGAGGGTAAATTGAGACCATTAAAAAAAATCATTCAATGCCATGATTTAGGTGAAGAAAATGTGTTAACATGCTACTTTTAACATAATAGCAAAAGCAAAATGAATCTATTTATTAATATTTGATAAAGGAACTCTAGAAGAATATACAAGAAAGCAATAGAAGTCATCACCTGTGAGAGGGGACAGGTGAGAATGACTTCTCCGTGTACCTTAGTATATTTCTTCTGCTTTTGGAACCAATTTGAGTATGTTTTCTATTTGAAAATATTTCAAATAAAATAAAACCCATCACATGGCCACCACACACCCCTATGATGAAGTGGGGAGCAGCATCAGCCATGGGCCGGGCTCTGACCTGAGCCTTGTCATCTCCTGAGCTTTCTATGGCAGAACCTGGGTCCCTGGCTAACCAGTGACCTCCTCAACTGACCCCCTCCTCATGGACGTGTGTACAGAAGCAGTTCTCATTGCCCTGAGGCCTGTACTGGGCTCAGGAACTGAACTCTACATTTGGACCCCCAGTGTAATATCACTAAGGTCCGTTGTCACCTGGTTCTCTGGGCTTGGGGGCTTTTAAGGAAAACCCCAAACATGGACCAGGCGACTGATCTGAGGTTTATAAGACAAGAGGGCCTCAGCACTGAATGAAGGACTTCGTTGGGCTCAGAAGACAAGGCCTGGAGTCCCCAGCCCCTGCCCAGGAAAACTAATAACCCATCAGCTGACCAATTCTTTATATTGATAGCAACCAGCATCTGGGAACAATATTAGCAAGAAAATATCTGCCATCCAGTTATAGGTGGGATTGGGTGGAAGAGGTGGAATGGAAGGATGCGGAATCATCAGAGGAGGTCACGGGAACCATGTCCCCAGACCACCCAGGGACAACTACCTCTCTCCTCTCAGCCATACGCTCTTCCTGCAGTTTCTTCATTTTTCTCTTCCACTCTGTATTCTGAAAAAGATTAAAAGCTTATTAAATGGGCCCTTCTAGATATTAAATATATATCAGAAAACTACAGAAATTAAAAAGTACTGGCTCATGATTAGGCAGACAGACTAATAGAATAGAATAGAAAGCTCGGACAAAGAGGGGGGAAAAAATGGAAACTTAGTTGGTGAGGGAAAGGGGAGATGGATTATTGACTAATGATGTTTAAATAAGTACTATCTGTCTAGAAAAAATATGAACGTGGATCCATATTTAATATTTTAAACCGAAATAAATTCTAGATGGGTCAAAGAATTAAATGTAAAAATTAAAGTCATAAAAGTACTGAAAGAAAATTCTTTTTAAATCATTTCTTTTTAAATCTCAAGAGTAGGAAAGGCCATAAAGAAAAGATTGATAATTTGGTCATTTTAATGACATAAAACATTCTTTATTTTTGTATGGCTAAGCCATAATAAATGGAGTTGAAGACCAAAGAGAAAAACTTCGGAAAATAGCCACAACTAGAACAATAAAGGGCTGGGCTAATTTCCACACACTACCCACAAATGGGCAAGAAAAACATCAATAATAGAAAAATTGGCAATAATAGAAAATTGGCAAAGAAGTTCGTAGAAAAAGAATGGCTGCTTTATGATGGGAAACTTGTGAAGTATCTATGGGTGGAAATGCTGCATTGCTGAGAGTTAAATTTGAAGCTCTGTCTCAACCACCTTGGAGAGCAGAAACAGAAGCACCTGTGATTTAATGACTGTCAACTGTTCTTCCCTACCATGGAATTATCAGTGACACAGACCACCTGTAATTGAACTGGAGTAAGATTCACCCACCAGCCAGAGCCACCTCCAACCATCTGGGTCAGAGCAGATGGTGCATAAGTTTACCCAGTTTCATTCAGTGACGTCACCTCACCTTGCTACCATGAAATCAGCCACAGTGGGAGTATTTACACCACAGCAAATGGCAAATGCTACAAATCAAAACTGTATTTTAGCTCCAGAGAGCTAGTTTAGTTTCTCATTTACCATCACACCAGTGGGTCCATCCTAAATATCTTCAAATCCAGGAAACCATCACACTTTCTGAATTGTTTTCAACTGGGTTAGGATAAAAATCGTGACAAAGGTGTCACCCCATATATGTTTGTATATATTTTGGAAATATGTCAGTCAAGTCAGACCTTGGACACCTAGCACCAGCCTTGCCTGAGAACCTTGCTCTACCCTCTCATGAGTTGGCACAAGATCTGAAAATACAGACCTTTGATGTCTTGCAATTCCCCTAAATCCATATGGCAAAAAATGAGAGGCTTTGTTGGAGATAACAAGGTTCTGGGCTTGCTCTAGAACCTTGGACTGCACAGAGCATGATCACCTGAATCTCCATCTTCTCTCTCAGGGCCTGGAGCTCCTGCGCCTGCCTGAGTCGCTCCTCTGACTCCTCATCCCGCAGCGATCCGAGGTGGGACTCTGTTGCACTGTGAGACCGCAGTGCCTGCAGTTTCTGAAAAGTCCAGGGCATAATATCATTTAGAAGAAGATCTAGTCATCTCATTGACTTTTACACCTTATGCCAATACAGTGTCAGAAGGGCACAACCTACCCCAACCACGAACCCTCAACTAGTCTTCACTAAGCACCCACGTGCCTATAAATGTTCACATGAATCAGCATTGCCCTTCACAAGGGTTGTCCTGAGGGCTCAGCCCTTGCACAGGGGAAGCAAGCTCCCAGGGAAGAACAGAACCCAAGAGAATACTTCCAATTCCACTAAAATTCTGCCATACTCAAAACCCTGAGCTCACCTGATTGCTGCCCATTTCTTCCCCAGTTTGGAATATGCTGTGGAGAACCACACTCAGGGGAAGGACTCAGGCACCCCAGGCCACCCCCTGAGGCCTCCTTCCCCTCTTCCACAAAACAAAAAGTCCTGTCACCTGAAGGGCTGGTTTTGCACATAAAAGCCCAGTCCACTGATTCCAGAACTAGCAGAGTGTGAGAAGGAAAAGGCACAGGAAATTGGATCAAAGAGGAAACACCAAGGGCTGGGGTTTAGCTCAGTGGCAGAGCACTTGCTTAGCACACATGGGACTCTGGTTCAATTCCCGGCACTAAATAAATAACAACAAAGAGCTGGGGTTGTGGCTCAGCGGTAGAGCACTTTCCTAGCATGTGTGGGGCCCTGGGTTCAATCCTCAGCACCACATAAAAATAAATAAATAAAATAAAGGTATTGTGTCCAACTACAACTAAAAAAAATAAAATAACAACAAAGAGACAGAAATGTCTTTCCACCTACCTGTGGTTATTGTGGTTATATACACCACTACTGCACTAACAAAAGCAACACATACCCATTCATATACTGTATAAAAATAAATAAAAGTAATGTAAACTAAGAAATGAATTTTTGAGAATAAACAGGTTTTCAACAAAAGAACTTTGAAATGCTTTTTATGTTTTTACTCTACCTCTTCTAGCGTAGAGTTCTGGTTGGCAACGGTTTTAAATTCATCCCAAAATAATTGCTTTAGCTTGTCTATTTCCCCATAAAGCTTGGTCCGCTCTTTTTCTTTCCATTCATCAAAGTGCTTCTTAGCTTCTATTTCCCTCTGACGAGTGAACTCTGCTTCCTACCAAAAATAAAAAGGAAAGAAAGAACAAAGAGAAAAAAAGGAAGGAAAGAAAGAAGAAAAAAAGCAAGAACAATGTAAATCATTAATTCCACAATATAGCAAATATTGCTGAGAATTTGCAAAGGCCCCCATTCATGCTTGTCACCATGGAGACAAAGGGTATTTGTCCCATTGTTGTTTGGATCTAGAACTGGCCATTCTAAATCAGCCAAACCTCAATTGTGAACAGGACTTGTCTTCTCTTTCTTTATACTCCTGGCAATGCCTGGCATAGTTGGTGCTCAATAAATGCACGCAGAGAAAATGAATGATGAATGAACAAATGAATAAATGAAGGAATGAGCAGCAAGTTTGTCTTTTCATTCAGCAAATATTTACTAAACATTTCTTCCAGTCTGGGTTCTGGAACTTTCGGAATCAAATCCAGTCTTTGTTCTCAGAAAACCAACTAAGAGGATAGAGTAAGGAGTTAAAATTCAAGATCAATGGCTTCAGGGGGTGCTGACTAGTGCAAGAATTCTGCAACTCTCCACTCTACTTTTGGCCACACAGGTCTGGCAAAATAATTTGATTCTCCCTTCCAAACTACCTAAAATCATTTGCCACATCCAAGAAGGTGCCATTCTAGCTCTGACTCCCAGCTCTGATGACAGCTGGAATTTCAGCCCTGTGGGGTTCATGTGCCTCAGAGGTCTAAGTAGCCAGTGACCTAAGTCTCCCCGATTCCTGTGCCCACCTGGAGCTGCCGCTGCCTCTCAGCTTCCCTCTGAGCTTCCAGCTCCCCTTGGGTCCATTTTAGCTTGGCCTGTAGCTCTTCCAACACCTCCTCCACAGGCTTCTCTTGCTTCTGTTTTCCTGGGGCTTCATGACAAGAGAGGGTAGAAAGGTAGTTTCTTGCCTCTGCAGTCACACCTCAGTTCAGGACCAGCTTTGCCACCTAGTTCATTGACTTTGGGCAAAGCACGTAGCATTCCTGACCCTGTTTCCCAAACTGCAAAATGGAAATCACAACAGCACCCAATTCAGAAGGGGTTAGTGAGGATGAAATGTGATAATGCAAATGCTCAGCATAGTGCCTTCATGACAGCTCAATAAATGTGAACTATTATTGTACTGTCATTTTAAATAAGCATTCTGAAAATACTGTCACATGGAAGTGCAAAATTACTAGAGTACCAGAAACAGAATTCGAGCATGCATATGCCATCTATTGATGGAAACATTTCTGGGTATCATTGCAGCAGAGGGAAACGTAAAGAAATTAAACATAAGTGTAGTTTTAAGGTCTTTTTTAAGTAATATTATTTAAATGTACAGTTTTAATTTTCAATTTTAAAAAAAGGCAGCATGGAAAAAATTTTAACCAACATTGCTTTAAGTGTCTACTTTAAAATTTTTAATTGACAGACAAAATCGAATGTATGTATCATGCACAATGTGATGCTTTGAAGAATATACACACTGTGAAATGATTAAATGTAGATAATTTAACTATGTATTATCTCATTGGGGCACCAATGTGAGAGAACTCATAACAGTCTCTCTATTAGCATTACTTCCAATTTTTTAAGTTAAAAAAATAATCTAGAATGAATTATAAAACTGCAATACAGGGGCTCGGGGTAGAGCGTTTGCCTCAATCCTCAATACCACATAAAAATAAATAAAATAAAGGTATTGTGTCCATCTACAACCAAAAAAAATTTTTTTAAAACTGCAATACATACAAATAAATGCAAGAGTTAAGGATTAATAAAGACACCAATTATGTCTAATAATTTGTTAGGTTTTGAAGTATTAATAGTGATCTCTAGATAGATGGTACTGTTATAAAAGTTTGAATATTTTTCTTTGAAAAGAAGTGTTTTTCTCAGTTTGGATTTTTTTGAAAACAAGTGATTTTTAGAAGGAGTATAAATTATTTTGGTTTAATAAGGAGATCTCTGGCAAGTGTGGAATAGCAGAGCTGGGCCTCTGGGGAGCCCACTCCTAGAGAATAAAACGCCATGAACATTCATGTAGCAAAAGTGGCCTCATGAACATATTTCCCTACTCCTTACATCAAGGAAATATTAAGAGATATGCACAAAGATTTACATATGAGAATATCAATCATCCTGTGATATATAATAGGGAAAATTTCAAATAACCCACATATTCAGTGGGAGAATATTATGAAATAAGTTATGATAGCCACATGAGAGAATTTAGTCATCAAAATTCCTATTTTCAAAGATAATTTAGTGTACAAAGCTTGATATATTCTTAAATGAAAATAAGTAATAGTCAAAATTGCATATTATGAAGCTGGGTGTGGTGGCACATGCCTGTAATCCCAGCAGCTCAGGAGGCTGAGACAGGAGGATCGCAAATTCAAAGTCAACCTCAGCAAAAACAACGTGCTAAGCAACTCAGTGAGACCCTGTCTCTAAATAAAACACAAAATAGGGCTGGGATGTGGCTCAGTGGTCAAATGCCCCTGAATTCAATCCCCAGTACCAAAAAAAAAAAAAAAAAAATGCATATTATGATTACATATGTACACAGAAAAAAAAAACTGACAGTATATCAAAATATTAACTGTTGGTGATATTGTCCATGGTTTTTATTTTCTCTTTCCTATATTCTTATTTTTAAAGTTTCTATATCAAAGACATATACTTTTATCAACACACCAGTATTTAAGACATGGAAATCTGTTTTACTTTAGCAGCCTGCAATGCACCAACAACTAGACACATAATAGAGGTAGAGGCTAGGTATATGATACTATTTTAAAAAGGGAATTCAAATAATAGAAAATAAAAAAGGTTTTCTTTAATGGGATTTTTATATTTATGTTACATATTTAGATTTATCTTACTTGTACAGCTAGCTATGTCTGTTGAACTTCAAAGAGTAGACATAAAGTATGATGATCTCTATTGGAACAACACACAGTCTTGGCACTCATTTGGGAATTCAAATGGTAAAATGTTTAAGTGGTTAAGTCAAGATAAGCTCAAGTATATGGAAAAGTCAAAAATCTGGTCTGACTGCTCCTTTACCCCATTTAAGCTCCTTCCTAGCAAGCCTCATAGAACTGCATATTCACAGACAGCTGGGAGGCAAGGGTCCTTCAAAGTCACCCCATCTGCCTGTCCCATTCTCTGGGAAGTCCACAGAAATCCAGAAGGGGAGCAATGACTAAGGTGACATCACAGATAGGGACAAAGCTAAGACTGGAAACTACCCATCCACTCCCATCTCATCTTCCCCATACAGGCAGTCAACAAATCATCCAGCCCCCTGTGGGATCCCCCTCTGTGGACAGTAGGTCACCCCATCTGCATCTGGATGGTGAGACTCTAAGGGCCCAGATGGGTGTACAGGGTCCCCCTGTCCACTGAATGCCAGCCTATGCCCTTCCTCAGTTCCTGGCGGGTGGTGGGGTCAGGGGGACTGCAACTTGACTCACCTCCTTCTGCCACTCCTGCATGCCTGCGCTGGATGTGACCCCGGAGGAAAGTGGCATTCATGAACGTCTTGTCACATAAGTGGCACTACACAGAAGGGAAGCAATTGGGATTTTGGCATTAAATCTCCTGAGACATCTTCCATATATCAAAACACCCCTTCTCTTGGGACCCCTGGGCTACTTCAGAAACAAAGAATTTGAGGAGCTGGGAATGCAGCTCAGTGATGGAGCACATGCTCAGCACATGCAAGGCCCTGGGGTCAATGTCTAGCACTATGAAAAAAAAAGGGGCAAGAAATTAAGAATTTGATTTATTGGGTGGAAGAATTTGATTTAGTGGGTGACATCTGCCTAATACTATCAATGCTCTGGGGATCTCTGAACACTGACTGGTACTGAGGAATGATACTGAGGAATTTCTGTTGATTTTTCAGGATGTGATGATAGGGGTGTGTTTATCTTTCAAAATGGGATTCCTCGCCCTTTAGAGATACATACTGAAACATTATAGATACAAGCATAGACCAATACACTTCAAGGTAGTTCAGGAGTGGGGGAAAGTGGGTGGAGATACACATGGAATGGCGTTGGCCACAAGATGAGAACTGCTGGGCTAACAGTACGTAGATGAAGGTTCACCATATCATCCTCTCTGCTTTGGTATATGTTTCAAATTTTTCATAAAAAAAGTATTCATTAAAAACAAATGCTGAATGTTTTCTCTGATATAAGGAGGCTGATTCACAGTGGGATAGGGAGGGGGAGCATGGGAGGAATAGATGAATTCTAGATTGGGCAGAGCGGTGGGAGGGAAAAGGAGAGGGCAGGGGTTAACAAGGATGGTGGAATGTGATGGACATCATTATCCAAAGTACATGTATGGGGCTGTGGATGTGGCTCAAGCGGTAGCCCGCTCGTCTGGCATGCGTGCAGCCCGGGTTCGATCCTCAGCACCACATACAAAGATGTTGTGTCCGCCGATAACTAGAAAATGAATATTAAAGAATTCTCTCTCTCTCTCTCTCTCTCTCTAAACAAAACAAAACAAAACAAAACAAAGTACATGTATGAAGACTTGAATTGGGTGTCAACATACTTTATATACAAACAGAGATATGAAAAATTGTGGTATATATGTATATTAAGAATGCAAAACAAAGTACATGTATAATGGCATAAATTGACATGAACATACTTTATATACAGAGATACGAAAAATTATGCTCTATATGTGTAATAAGGACTATAATGCATTCCACTGTTGTAGTGTATTTAAAAAAATAAAATAAAATCAATTAAAAAATAAAACATAACTGAAATATATGTGATTTTAAATCCTAAAAAAAAAAAAAAAAAAGCCAATGTCAGGCTAGGGGTGTGGCTCAATGGTACAGCACTTGCCTAGCATGCTCAAGGCCCTTATTCTGATTCCCCAGCACCATCAGAAAAAAAGAAGTCTTTCAGCTGGTATTGAAGAATTGATGTGGGTCTGGGTGCAGTGGCGCATGCCTATAATCCCAGCAGCTCAGAAGGCTAAGGCAGGAAGATCATGAGTTCAAAGCCAGCCTCAGCAACAGTGAGGCTCTAAGCAACTCAGTGAGACCCTGTCTATAAATGAAAATTGCAAAATAGGGCTGGGGATGTGGCTCAGTGGTTGAGTGTTCCTGAGTTCAATCTTTGATACCCTCCCCCTTCAAAAAAAGAAGAATTGATGATGTGGGGATGAGAACCTAGTGTCAAAAGTATTGTCGAGGACTAAAAAAAAACAAGTCACCCATTCACTCCCAAACTTTGAGTTTCTTGAAACGTAAACCAACATAACCTGTGCCCAAAACCTCAGGGCCTGGCCACTGTGACAATTTATTATAGGGCTAATGTCTCCAGTCTGCATTTTCCATGGAGACAGATTCCAATGCTCAAAAGCTGCTCAGGGTAATGAACCATCACCTGGGTAAACAGTGGAGCCCCCTTCCAAAAATGAGGCCTACTATTCCCTTGGCACACATTGATTCTACACACATACATCTTTACACAGTGCACTCTCTATACACACACACACACACACATTCACACCCTCCATAAATGCACACATACCTAGGTACATACACTACATGTCCTTCATTTCTTCACATATACGTCCATACACACACCCTCCATAAGTACAAACACACTTCCTTACACACTTATGCACCATGCTTTCACACAAAGTACATCTTTATGTATACACTCTTGAGTTGCACCCTTCATGATATACCGGTCCAAACATATGTGACATGCCACATACTCTACATAAACACAAATATCAGTTGCTGAAGTACCTCCAAGAGTCACCTACACACATTAAACACACATATTCACACCATCCACACACATACACATATCCTCCACACATTCACAAATACACACACTAGACATGCACCCTGTATATGTGCTTATACACATACATACTCCATGTACACCACCTCCATACATAGCTCTCACATGTGTACAGCTACCACACATACATAAACACACAGAGTAGAACCTGATCAGACATGCTCAGTATCTCAGACCACAAGCAACATCTCTAAAATCTATTCCTAACCAGTGAGAATGACCCATACTGGCCTTATGGCCCAGGACTGTGCTGGCCAGGTGGCCTGGTGGCTGGGGCACACAGACCCCACCCTCCCACCCTGTGCACTATGGTGGTTCCTCACCGTGTGGTAGCTGTGAGCACCTGTCTGCATCAGCAGCTGCTGCAGGGTGCTGATCATCTTGCGACGTCGGCGACTCTCCTCCCGCACTCCCTTGAGCTCATCGGCCTGCCTGCCCAGCTCCTGCTGGCCCCGCTGCTGCTGGCCCAGGCTGGCCTGCAGCCGTGCCTCCAACTGGGCAACACTGGCACTCAGGCAGTCCTGGCAGTGCAGCAGGTACTCTATGATGAGCTGTGCCAGGCGCAGCACCTTGAGCAGTACCACGTCCACAGGGTGCCCACAGCGGCTGCACACCTCCCGGTCCAAGTTGCAGAAGGTGATGCCAGCAATGTTCTCCTGCAGAGTGGCCACATCCAGCTCCCGAGCCACACGGTCCACATCCAGAGCGCTAATACGCCTCCAGTCTAGGCTCTCATTGCGAGGCTGGAACTTGAAAGTGGGGAGTGTGTAGACCCCATAGTGGGGGCTGCTAATACCCTCAGTAGTAGCGGCTGTGGACTGCATGGAGGGGAGAAACCCTGTACTGACCACCGGGCTGTGATGCCACCAAGGCCACGGCTGCTGGCCAAGGAACTGGAAGAGAGCCTGAAAATTGAGAAGAGAGTCCAAGTTAAGTAAGGTGTGTGTGGCTGCATGTACTGTGCAGCTGGTCAGCATCAGACCAAGTGGGTGAGTGGTTGCAATATAAGGAATACATGACGTAGAAAGGAAGGGTGTGGGCCTTGCAATTAATTGCATGGGTATAGATTTGAAACCTCTGTCTGGGCAAGATCCCTCCCTTTCAGCCTCCTGAATACATAAGGGACCAGAAGACCCATTTATCAGAAGATAAGGAATGAGGCAGGTGAAGCACCCAGCCTAGTGCTGGCACACAGTAGGTACTCAGAGAACCCTTCCAGACCCACTGCAGGAGTCCCTGGCAAAGAACTTTGTCAGGTAGAGCTGTCAAATGTATAACTGGGTCCTTCTGCAACCCTACATGTGTCTCAGGACAATGTCCAACCACTTGCCATAGGTGGCAGAACCATCTACTAACCACCCAATCCTTGCCTTCTGTCATCACAGGGTTCCAGTGGAGCATGGTGGATTACATTTCCCAGCTTCCCCTGCAGTGAGGTGTGATGATGTAGCTAAACTCTCTCCCGTGGAATGCAAGTGAAATGATATCTACCTCTGCCAGGAGGGGCTCAAGAGAGCTGCCATGTCTCTGCACAGATTATGTTCAATCCAGAAAGAGCTTTTTTCCTTCAATTTTTTGCTGTGCTAGGAATTGAGCCAAATAGTAGTTTGATGATACCGGAGGGAATTTAAAGTGACTACTATAAATTTTGATTTAGATGGGATGTAGCTCAGAGTTAGAACACTCGCCTAGCATGCCCCGGGGTTCTACCCCCAACACTGTAAAATAATAAAATAAAAATTAAAATTTAATTTAAAGTAAGTAAATAAATAAAATAGGTTGTTAAAAAAGAACTACAATTTATAGACAAACTCACATGTGTAAAGGAGCTTGAGAAAAATTTGTCATTGTAATACTGTTTATAAAAATGAAGTACAAGGAAATAAGAAAGCAAAAGACCATAAGGAATACAAAAGGAATTGTTATAAAATAAAATACTGCTATTGATAAGTATAAGGCAACTTTACATATACTGATATGTAATAATAATCTCATAAATTAATGTATATACATAAATATTTCATTTGGTTTAATGATATATTAATATAATCATATTTACTAGCTCACGAAATTATTTATTATTAATTACTAACAATATTTATAAATGTTAATTATTTACATATATGTCACACTGGAATGGTCACCTATGAGAAGAGGGCAATGGGAGTATAAATTAATAAATAAATGAATTGATGGATATGGCATGGATAGGAGGCGGTCAGATAGATAGGCCTTACACAAACCAGAGATAATTTGAATAATCTGTATCTGTTATAATTATATAAAATATATAATTATTATTCATGCATAAATTCATTTATCTACAGGACTTCATGAGCATGGACAATTTGGTTTCATATATATATATATATATATATATATATATATAATTTTTTTTACGTGTTGATGGACCTTTATTTTATTCATTTATTTTTATTTGGTGCTGAGACTCGAACCCAGTGCCTCACACATGCTAAGCAAGCGCTCTACCACTGAGCCACCACCCCAGGCCGCATGGGCAATTCTTGAAAGATGGACAAAACACTGTCAGCAATGGCTACCTCTAGAGAATGGAAAGGGAGGCTAGAGGACTTCTGTTTTTCATTTTCCACTTCTCTAAGTTATTTGCAGTTTCCCTTGAGGTACATGTTACCCTATTTAATCAAGTTCTTTCTGGATTGAGTGATTCAGACATGAAAATATAGTAGAAAGAGAAGAAAGGCCATTGACCTCAGGAAGGAGAAAGTCCTCGAGGAGAGGGGAGGCTGGGTTGGCACAGGGGAAGGGTCTCCAGGAAAGCACCTGGGCTTACTGAGCTCTTCATCTGGGAAAGGCAGTGACAGGCCACTGTACGAAGTGGAAGAGAGGCGAGGACATGGCACTCACAACTCAGGGAGTCTACACACGAACTTACAAACAGGCACAGGATTATTATTCCCATTTCACAAACAAGGAAACTGATGTCTGGAGAGGTTGAGTGTCTTGTCCCAGCTAGAAAGATTAGCATTGAAGTGCTAGTACACAGGCCTCTGGTTCCAAAGCTTGTGGACTTTGAACTACTAAACACTGATTCTTGGGGTTATTACTTTGATTAGAATCTCAGTCCTTTTCCCTCAAACTTCCAACTCATTCATTCATTGAAGGTACACCTCCATGGGCCCAGCCCTATGCTAGGCACTGGGGGCTTCCCAGATGTATCAACCACACACCTGCTCCCCACTGTCCAGCTCAGTGTGGCTCCTTCTTGTCACAGCACCAAGTGCAGGCCTCTTCGCCAGGTCTTGACACTGCCCACAGGATGCTGCAGACCCACCTTTTCAGTTTCAGCTCCCATCTTTCCTTCTTTTCTTGGATCCTCTTCCCTAACATACCCCAAAAACAGAGCCATCCTGAATAAACACACACCCCTCCCCCATGGCCTACTTAACATATCACAAAAGAAAAAAAAAAAAAAGGAGCTGGGTGACATGGTACTCACCATGCTTAGCTCCGAGCTAACTGCACCACTGGAGCCCCGGAGACAACTGCTCACAACAAGCGGTGCCTCAGAGCAACAGCAGGTTACCAGGCATGTTGCAGGCAAGGGTAACAGGACACCTGCTTCCTGTCCTCCCATAGACCATGAGCTCACCTGAAAACTTCACTGCTTAACTATTTAAGCTTTGACCTCAGCTGCTTGCCAGCAGTCCTCCGCAAGAACAAGGCCAATAACTGCCCATCACCAACTCTCCCAGCTCTCCTCCCACCTCTTTGCCTCCTCTTTAAACAGTGACTATTCTTTCACCTTTCACTTAAAGCAGGACTGCCAGTGTAACCTTGAGATTTTTCTGTTCACCCATGATTCATTCTCCCTGCACACTGTCCTGGGGATGAGTTCACACATACAGCTTCAACTACCACAGGCTTGCTCTCGTATGAGCCTCAGACACCCCCGAATCTCTTTCTCTCTGGCCTTTCTCTCTTGTGACCCTAAGCCCCAATCCTTCTAAACTGAATATACCTAGAGTTGCAAACCCAAGTGCTACCAACACCAGGAAAGTAGCATTACATGCCTGAAGGGCCAGGTAAGGGAGAAGGCACAGCACAAGTTTGATGATACATGGCAACTGATTCCCCACCTTAGAGTCCAAGATAAAGTAAGGCAGTGGTTCTCAAAGTATGTTCCCTGGACCATCAGCAGCAGCAGCACCCAAGAACTTGTTAGAAATGTAGCTTCCCACACTTAGGGTTCAGAACCAGCATAGTAGATAGTGCTGGGATAAAGGAAAAGGAGGGAGGAGGGTGTGCCCTGTTTAAAAAGAGCAGCCACCACTGAACTTCAGCCATCTGGAAAAGAACGGTGTTTCTTGTAGGCTGACTGCAAATTCATTAAGAACGACATCCCAAGACTACATCTATGACTCTTTCCAAACCACCTTTCTAAGTGTAACTTCCACCACGGAGTTACTTTCTGTACACACTTTCACACCTCTGGGTGTTTATTTGAGTCTCAGGCACTGTTTTTCAGTAGCTTTACAGAGTAGAATTCATGTAATCCTCAGAACAACCCCTTGGGGAGGTATGCTTATTACCTAAGCCACAGAGAAGTAAAGACCCCTGACCAAGGTCCAGAGGCTGGATTCAAACCTAGGCAGGTAACCTCTGGTCGGGACTGTTGGCCATTATTGAGCACCACCTCTTGTTATAGGGCTTCGGCCACCTCCTTCTGATCCTATTGAGGGTGGATGCATGCCTGAAAGCCCTGCTTATCATGATTACCACCAGAAAGCCCTTCCAGACCCACAGTCAAAATATCCTGGCCCTCCTGGTGTTCCAGAGCACAGAGTGTACAGTCTAGTCCATGTGGGGTGGCTGTGTAATATTCATTCATCCATCCATCAGCACAGGATTCCTGAGCCCCTGCTAAGTGCCAGGCACCGTAACTCACATTCAGATTGAATAGTGACCCAGGCAAACAGTCCCTGCCATTGTCAATAAAAAGAGTTAACATCTGTGGAATCCAACTATGTTTTACACACACTTCTAAAGTTTTATGTGTGTTATCTGGTTCAATTCTCACAACCCATCATACAGACAAAGAAACTGAGAGAGTGAACAGAGAGGAAATGACTTTCACACAATGCCAACTGCAGTGTCTGGCTCCAGAGTTTATTCTCCAAAAAGGCAGAAAAACACAGAAATTACTCACAGACTGGTAAGTGCCAGGGAAGGAGTTAAGAGAGGGTGCTGTGGGAGCACCAAGGAAGGTCCCTTACCAGAATATTTCTGTTTCTCCTCCTCCAACTCCAAGCTTTCCAGGACCTTCACCAGGACTCATTCCTATCTGTTGTATTCCAGCCCCTGACCAATTTTCCTGAGCTCAGATTGCTATAGAGCTGAGTAACATTGTCCAAATCTTAGAATAGCTGCCTACATTCTTGGGGTCTTGAAGAAATGAAGCTATGAACCACCAAGAATTAGGGTAAAGAGTAAAAATGAAGTTAGGAGTCCTTCATTTGAACTCACTGGAGTAAAATAGCAGAGTAAAATGCTAGATTTGTTGACCGCCTGTGTCCACAGGTTGACTCCAATGGCTACTAATGAAAGCAGAGAGTGCAGGAGCCCTGTGGGTGGGCTCAGGCACACCAGTAAGGCATCCCAGTACCACACTGTCACTATGTGCCCTTGGTATGATAGCTTGCATCCTGAGCCACTCTTAAACCTTTGCCTTCATACTCTGAGCATAGAGAGTAACATTCTCACTCCCAGTTATGCAGGATTTTGAATTAGTTTTTACTGTACCCCCAAAATACTATGCCTCTCTCCCTCTGGAACCCCAAGGGTCCAATTCTCAGAAGTCCTAGGGCTCTGGCATTAAAAGGTAAAGCAGAACTGTGGGAATTGGAAGATGATGATGATAGCAGCTATTATTTATCAGACATTTATATTCCAGAAACTGTACCAGCCTTTAAAAGTGCTATTTCCAGCCCACACATACCCTTGTTAAGTAGCTATGATTTGCCCCATCTGACAAATGCAACCAAGGTTCAGGGAGACTAAGAGACCTGCCCCAAGTCACTCAGCTACTAAGCAACCAACTTCTGTCTATCTTGAAAGCTTTTGAATTACGCCAAACTAACTCCCAATAATGGAATGGGGGCGGGGAGTGATGATGATGATATATAAATTATTTCCTATTATGGAAATTACAGTACCTGAGACTTCCTGACCAAAGTGCAAGGGCTGACAGGGTTTACAGCAAATCATGACAGGATCAGTGTTGGAGATCTTAAAATCTCCCCGTGTCTGCAGGGCTAGTCTGAACACGACTCAGCTCTACAACTTGCTTTCTGGCTACAGTAGACAGAAGATAAGCCAAATGAAAGTGTGTAAGGTTACCTGGAAACCACGTGCTCTAGGGACAAGGACACGTGCTTTCTCTTGACTGAATTATCAGCACAGTGCTTTCTCCACATCTGGGAATAGACACTGAGGTAGATATGACTGTCATTAGGAAATCTGAAGCTGTGTCATCCACCTCTACATGTTTTGATGGGGCTCTAGGAAACTTCCCTTCCCAATCCCAGTCCAATACCATGAATTAATAACCCCAAAGAATATTTGTGCTAGCACTTTATTGTTGGAGAGTTGGCTTCTAACCATGGCAATCCCACACCCAATAGGGAAAACCCATCTACCACCCTTGCTTTGCACACCCCTGGTCACCACCCAGCAAGGCAGCCATCACACTGTGAACAGTTCCTGGAGAATTTACGTTTCTTCTGAAATCTTCCCACCTAAAATCGATCAAAGATAACTTCCACAAAATTGGCCAAATGCCTGGTTTTTTTTATTTAACTTGATAGCAGTACAACAACAACACTGTACTGTCTTTTCTCCCTCAAGAAAGCCCCCACGAGGAGATTCTGGAGGGTGCCAAGCTTCTGAAGGGCTGCCAAGCAATCATTTACAAACCTGCCCTGGCTTCCAAACCTGCCTGGGGAAACTGGGGCACGTCATTAGTGCTAATTGCTATGGCTGCCAAGGAAACCTTCCCACAGTTTGCAAACAGGCTCTATACACAGCACAGGCAAGGGAGTGCAGGAGACCAGGTGGAGATCAGGGACCCATGGGCTCTCCTGGAGCACTACTGTATAGAAACTTTAGACTTGATCTTGAATTCTGTCCTTTTCTAAAAAAGGAGACCCCCTTTCCTGCTCCTCCCTATTTCTCATAGGGGCTGCACCCATGGTCACTACCTTCAAATAGCAAGAGGGAGAGATCCATTCCACCAGGAATAGAGCTCTCTCCCTTGCAGCTGGCCTCCTATTCCCAGTAACTTTAAGGAGGTAGTTTAATTTTATTTATTCACTTTTGTGTGCACTGGAGCTATGGAATGAACCTTTGGCCTGGCACATGCTAATCTCCAACTCTTCCACTGAGCTGTAGCCCCAATCCCAAGGAGGTATTTTTTAAAAGACAGTGTTTACGTTTTTTGTCAAAAGTCTATTGTAAATTTTTGCCACGCAAAGATTCTCTTTAAAATAAAAGTAGGTGTGGAGATTTGACTGATGCCCCTTGGAAGTATTTTAGACTTGAGGCCTGAATGCCCTATCTTCCGAGTTGCAGAATTGTCAAAAAACAAACCAAAAAACAAAATCTGCTTTTTACACCTTTGCCCAGTACTAAGTAAATCTCCTGTGGACTTTTTTCCACGACCACCTAAAATCGACAATCCTGTTGCTGCTAAACTCCAGCCCAGGGGTGGAACCGGGAGTAAATGCCAACATGTTTGTTTAAAAAGTCGTCTCATCGCTAACAGATCTCTCTTTAACTACAGAACTCAAATCATCAAGCCCCCTAAATCACATTTTTTTTCTTTTTCTTTCCTTTTCCTTTTTTTTCCCCCCCCCCAAAAAGTAAAAGGTCAAGGCCTCCCAGGGAAGCCGAGGCCTGGGGGATCAGTCGTTCCCGCTCCGCGCCTCCAACGCCCGGGTGAGTCCTTCCCTCCCAGGGTACCTCAGTCCGGAGCAGGCCAAAGGGGCTAGCGCGGAGTGCCCAGCGGAGCCCAGGGAGCCGCTGGTCGGGAGGCAGAGCCGGCAGTCCCGGCGCGGGGCTGGACCCCTGCAGGACACCAGGGCAGCCAAGGTTTAACCTCCTTCCGCCCACGGTCCGGATCGCTCCGACTGCAGCCACGCCGCCTTCCCGCTCCCCTCCCGGGCTGAATTCCTGGCATAGTTTTCCCAGGCGGCCAGGCTCACCAGGGGTTCACCCAGGGCTGGGGGCAGCGGAAAAGGTCTCGGGGTTCTAGCTTTCCTTCTCGCCCCAGGCCCGCCGCCTGACTCACTTCACCGCCCCAGACAGCCCAGAGACAGCCCGGAGCCCTGCGCAGCCCAGGGATGCTGCTTCCCCAGCCACCACGAGCCGGGCTGCGCGCACTCCGCGGCGGGGAGAAGGCTAGCCCCCGCCGCCCCAGGGCGGTCCACCCGCAGTGGTCAGGGGCCGAGATCGCCTCCTTACGCTAGCAGCTCCAGGCCTGGGGTCTCTGGTGCCTCCCGCTCCCTCCGCAGCGTCCCAACCATTCCAAGGAGAGGCGGAGCCTATTCCCAGCACCCCCGGGACGAGCTATTTTTAGATCTGTAACGGATGGGAGGACGGAGGGAATGCCACGTTTAATCCGTTAAGAAAATCCAAGATCCAAGTCACTAGTTCCCGGGCCTTGCTGAGAGCTGGGCGTGTTGAAGCCCAGGGCGGCTGGAGTGCTCCAACCCTCTCCTTCTTTCACTCCCCACCACCCCAGTCCCCATCCCCGCCCCACGTGCTCCCTTTCTCCCTCTCCAGGCCCACAGCGATGGGCCTGCTGTAAACTGGGGCGACTGCAGCTCCGCCCCATCTCCGCAGACAGCTCTGCTCACCCGCCCAAAACTAAGGGGAACTTTCTAGATTTTGATCCTTTGAATCCTTTGGGTATATGCTTTAGATTGATCAGATGGCAACCACCTTCCCCCCACGCACCTCATTTTCTCTCCCTGATCCCTTGCGATTCCCAAAATTATGGGCTCTTGTTTTGTCTTGCTTTGCTGTTCTGTTTTTTTGCTTTGTTTGATTTTGTTAAGGCCTTCCTTCCACAGCAGCCTCAGTCCTCTGCATCTTGGGACAGTCAAAGTGTTACCGCTGTTTACCAGTGCTTCCCCAAATCCTCAAGTATAACAGAGAAGCACCCAAGGAGGCAAGTGTAAAGTAGAAAGTAGAAGGCTTTATTAAAGGACAGCAGAAAAGACTTCTCCCCAGAGGAAGAATCTGCTAAAAGGAAGGGCGAGATCTTCCCTTTTTTTTATAGCTAAGGTCTTTTTTAACTTTCCCACACTCATGTCCTTTGTTTCCCTTTATCTTGCAGTGATAGAATGCAGGTGAGAAGGCCTGCATGGGAGGTGGGAGATAGGTGGGCTGAAGGAGTAATCTGTTTGCTGGGAGCTGCTTCAGCATTAACATCCCTTAGGATGGGTTCCCAGCCTGGCCTTGGGGACATTAACATTTCAATTTCCGCAAGTGCTGCTCTGGTTTCCTGAACTCCATTTAATAATGGTCTCCATTTTCTTTATCTTACTCGATATTAGACTTGATTTACCTAACTACACTAACTACCTATCTGTAAATCTGGCTTCAAAAGCAAAAGTATTGGGGAATACATATTGGCAAAGATGTAGAGAAACTGGAACCTCTGTGCATTGCTGGTAGAAATACAAATGGTAGAGCCACTATGGAAAAGAGGGACTACCATTAGTCCCTCAAAAAATCAAACAGAATTGCCACAGGGACCAGGCGGTGGCATTTGGGAGGCTGAGACAGGAGAATCCAGAGTTCAAAGCCAGCCTCAGCAAATAGCTAAAAGGTAGAAACAACATAAAGGTACACTGGCAGATGAATGGATAGGCACATGTGGTATATACATACAATGGAATATTACCCTTAGAAAAAAAGGTAATTTTGATATATGCTACACCATGAATAAACTTGGAAACTTGTCTCATCCATTCAGGCTGCTATAACCAAATACCATAGACTGGGTAGTTTATAGACAACAGATGCATTTTTCACAGTTCTGGAGACTGGGAAGTCTAAGATAAAGGGATCAACATACTCAGTGTCTGTTAAGAGCCTTTCCTGATTGATAGTTGTTGTCTAGCTGTGTGCTCAATAGAGGAAGTGCCTAAGTACTCTCTGGAGTCTCTTTTTATGAAGACACCAAACCCAGTCATGAGGGTTCCACCCTCATGGCTTAATGACATGCAAAGAGCCCACTCCTAATACCATCACTGTGGGGGTCCAGATTTCAATTCCATTGCTAGGGAACAAAACATTCAGACAAAAGCAAAATTTCATGCTGCTATGGTTGGATGTGTCCCTCAAAGTTCCCTGTAGTAAAAGATTTGTTCCCAGTGTGGTGCTATTGAGAAACTGATGTGACTCCATTTCTGAGAAACCAGACTCTACCTCAGAGCAAAGCCTGTCCAAGGAAGGGGGCGTGACCCTTGTCCTTGGAAAAACCCACAGAGCACTCCTAGGCACATACCCACCCTGCTGAGTTGTTTGTCTGCAAATAACAGGAGAGATCTTTAGGGCACCAGGTGTCCCTGACTCAGTTAGGCTAGGTGAGGACCCATAGCAACCCCCTAGCAACCACCATTAAGCATGAGACAGAAAAAATACCTGGGATGCCAGATGACCCCCTAGTAGTTTATGGTGGCTGATAACATGTTGGGAAACCATGTAGTTTGGCACGTACACCCCTCGTGGCTTAAACCAATCAGTTCAAAGGAATCCCCTTCTTGTACTAACCAATCACCCCTACCCAACTTGTTTCCACCAGTGAATGTGCTAATCAATGTTGTTTGACTTTCCTATTGTGTGAAATGATTTGCTGTGTGATGTTGTGACTCACAGAGTATCCCCCCAAAACCTGTAAAATCTCACTGAACAAAGGACTGGAACTCACTCCCTGGGACCGCCTCCTGTGGCTACTGCCATGGCCCCCTATGTGTCCTGGATCAGGAGGGTCATCAGCCACTGGCCATCCTGGCCTCTGATGTGGCACTCCAGTTGACCAGATCTCTCGGTGGCAGACCCTCCCCTTAGGGTTCAGGGAGGGACGTAGCAGTTGGAGACTGGGCACATCTGCAGGTCCAGGACCGATTCACAGTGATTCTTCATTCCAACTGAACTGGGTATGCAAGGTGCAGGGGCCACACTGTCATCGCAGCAACTCAGAGGCTGAGGCAGGAGGATGGGAGTTCAAGGTCAGCCTGGGCTACTTAACAAGGCCGGGTCTCAAAAGATAAAAGAGGGGGTGGGGATACAACTCACATTCACAAGGCCCTGGGTTCAATTCCCAGCTCCACAAAAATAAATAAATACATAAATCAAGGGCAGGGGTGCAGCTCAGCAGTAGAGCACCTCCCTGTGCGTGTGAGCCCTGGGTGCACTCCAGCACCAGGAAAGTGGGTAGGGAGACAAAGGCCCACCCCACCGCAGCTGCAACCTGGGAAGGGAGGGGTACCTCCCAAGCCTCTCCCAGGAGGGCGTGAGGGTGGGGGCACCTGAGCCAGCAGGGGGCAGTGCTGACCGGCCAGCACGCTGTGTGCACTGCGGGTAGGGAGTCTGGGCAGGTGTCCCGGAGTCTTGCACTTGACTCACGCCGTGATTGTGTACAAGTCACAGGCCCTGCTGCCAAGCCATGTGCAGCTGCAGCTCATCCGGTCAGAACACTCTTCACCCCAGAAGGAAGCCCGGTCCCAGGAGTGGCCCCCCATCCCTCCAGCCTGCACCTGCGGGTCCACGTCCATCTCTGGACTCCCCTGTCCCAGACATCTCCTGTCACTGGCTCACACACTGTGGCCTTGTGCATCTGCTTCTCACTGAGCACAGTCCTCAGTCCATCCACGCTGCAGCAATGTTGGAGCCTCACTCCACTCCAGGAGAGAAACACACTTTCTCCTACTCTTCCTGGCTCTTTGGGCTATGAATCAAATTTCCGTAAAGTGCATTAACAGGAGAAAAGCCATTCCATAAGTCAGGCCTGGGAACACAGCTTGTAATGCCAGCAGCTCAGGAGACTGAGCCGGGAGGACTGCAAATTCAAAGCCAGACTCAGCAACTTTGTGAGGCCATGTCTCAAAATTTTAAAAAGCCTGGGGATGTTGCTCAATCAGGGCTTAACCCCTGGGTTTGATACCTGGTACCAAAAACATAAATAAATAAGGCAAACTTTATGTTATGTATATTCTACACAAATCTTAAAAGGTAAAATTATAAGAATAATAAAGTGTACAGAACAGAGATCAGGATCAAGTGAAGAAGCCTAAATTAGCCTCTGCTCTGATGGAGAATCCTGTTCCTTTCCTCTTCCCCTGGTCAGAGAATCCTTTTCACTGGATGGAAGAGAAATATCCAGGCTTTGCAGTCAAAGACTAAAGTCTAAGTTCTCACTTCCTAAGATGTTTAAATCCGAGAAAGTCTCTTAACCTCACTGACCTTCCTCTTTCTCATCTGTAAAACTGAAAAAATAAACTCTACCTAGCAAGGTTGTCATGAGAAAAGAATTGACTGATGTGTCTCTAGGCTCAGCAGGACCTGGACAGTCAGTGGGGTATCTTCCAGAACTCACACTATAAAATTGCTTGGACACTTGTTTCTCAGCTCTCTTCCCACTGTATCCCCGCACCCACTGGAAGTGTACAGAAAGCAGCTCTCAGGGCACCTGTGTATGTTTGTGGGTATTCTTTCCACCCTCAATTTCCCCATGAGGTGCCCTCCTTTGCAGGGCTGTTTTAACACACACCCTATCAAAGCAGATTTAACACACACCCTATCCACCTTAGCCAAAATCCAAAGCCTCCAGCCTTGGCTGATCAAGATTTCCCACATATATAACCCTTGTATCTTTTCCTTAAGTAGCCTCAGATCAGCATTCAATACAGGG